CATTGTTCGAAATTTACTCCAGCTGTACTGTACTTTGCCTAAAATGTGTAGAAGTGCACTTGATTTGGAGAAGGCAAAGGGTCAAATAATCATCACTAAACTCCGATTGACACTATCTAATAAGGGCCCTGCTGATGCTGATTATCAAACTTTTTGGTCGGGAAGAAAAGCATTTAAATGTCCAGCAAGGGAATGCAGCTGAGTAAATTCCACTTTTGTTGGAGCCTCGCTGAGATTTTGCCGGGGGGGGGGGGGGGGGGGGGGGGGGGGGGGGGGGGGGGGGGAGGAGGGTTTGCAACTCCTGTAAAAGCCTTGTTCACCTATAATGCAGTGTAACAATGCTAGACAAACTGCCGCAGCAGAATTAAAGAACATTTACAAGTGTAGTCCACTTTACGCTTCTATATTTTTGCACCCACTTGCAATTATTTACATGTAAAATGGTTTTAATTTGCTGAGATTTTTTTAAAGAGTTATACCATATTATGAGTGAATGAGGTGTAAGTCATACAATACCTGTATGTTTACACATGTACACTGTAGCTTGTGTTGTATTGGCCTCAAATAGCCTGTCTATACTTTAAAATTTCCACAATTATGTACACTGTAATAGATACATGTACCTTTTAATTAAAGAGAGAATAGAATAAACTCTAAGAATAGAGGTGTCAGAATTTTCAGAGCTCCTATATCTATTACTGCCCCTTTGAATTTCAGCAGAAATGGCAGACACACACATCTTTAATAGCCCTATCCTTTAAATCTGAAGTTGTCCCCTTCTTACTGCCTGCTGTTGATCATAATTACTACAGTATGTCCATGCACAATCAGATCCGTGGTAATCTATGTGAATACTCACACAGCATTAGACAACTGCCCTTGCTCGTCATATCATGGCACCGAGTGTGATTTCAAAGTTTGTCATTTCTTGCTCATTAGCAGTGTCCCAGGGAGTAGTAGTGAGATGACATTTAGAACTGTATTCCTTTCTTTCTTCTCTGCTTCTTCTTGCTTTTTTCCTTCTTCATCTTCATTATCATCCTCTTCTTCTCTCTCTTTCTCTTTTTTCTTTTTTTTTCAATTTTCTTCTTCTTATCCTCCATTTTATTTCTTCTTGTTCTTTTGTCTTTTTCTTGTCCTTCTTCTTCTTTTTTATTTTCCTTTTTCTTTCTTCTCTTCCTTTTTCTTTTTCCTCTTCTCTTTCTTCATCTACCGCTTCTTCTTCATTATTTCTTTTTCAATCTTGAACCTCTTCTCATTTAAATCAACTCGTTTTCCTTTTATCTTATCCCTTGTCAATTTCATTTTTTTTTCTTTCTTCTATGTTGTATTCTTCTTTGTTTTCTTCACCTTCTTCATATTTTTTCCTTTTCTTCTTCTTGGTCATCTTATCCTCCCTTTCTTCTTCATTATACACATAGTATATGTGAATACTTGGTTTTCTCAGTTTAATTTTGAGTAAATTGATTTAGAAATACCATGTACATGTATACACTAGTTTAATATCTTCACAAGATAACACTAAGGCCTTTTAAACTTTTAAAAATAATAAAATAAAAGTTAAAACCTGCATTACGTTTTCAATAGAAGATGTACATGTACATTGTACATCAATACAAAAAAATGTGTTTTGAATATTCATGGATTCTCAATTTCACTGCCTTATGCCTTGGGTAAGGGAGTATGTAAATCTTGTGCAAGCCTCTTTTAAATGTCAAGAAAGTGCTTTTTAGGGGGAAATCCCTGATTTCTATTACCGGTAAAGCGATGTGTCCCTGGGAAATCGCCGTAAAATCAACCAAGGTACGTTTATAATGCTCATGTCTCCAGTATGTGGGTATTGTATTGAGCAATGCATCGTAATTGATTTTATTTTCTAGATGGGTTAGCTTTTGTCCTGGCTTTTATTTAAAAAGTACATCATACATACCAACTGTTCAGATTAAAGAGGAACATTCCTCTTTTTTGGAGAAGATAATTATCATTTTAATGCAGGTGTTCCTCTTCCTGTACAAATTTGTCTGTAGTATTGAATAGGAGAGTTAGGATTGTTCCTCTTTTTTTTTTAAATAGCCTAATTTGTACAGATTTCTGATTTTCAAATGTTGGCATGTATGGTACATGTACATGCACATGTACGTGTATATACAGTTCTATTTACAAAAAGTACTGTAAGACCAGAAATTTGCATGAATGTTTTGTATGTTTGTTACCAGAAAACTGGGTGTCATTTACAACTTAGAAAGTTTCATGTTGCCAAAGTTTACATATATCGGGGGAAAATGCACATCTGAAAGTTTGAATTTTGCATGCTCCAAAGTGGTAATCTGTAACGTGGGTCCCTGATTTTTCTGTGTATTATACAGTTAAAAAATACATGGGGGCTAGGGCAAAATAGCCCCAAAAATGCTAAAAAAAAAGCCCCCAAAATTCAGAAAAGAGCCCCCATAAATTTGCATAGAGTTCAATGCAATTTTTTTTTTAGAATGTTATATTCATGCAGGCAAGCTTGAAAAATAGCCCCCGAAAAATAAATATTAATTTTTTCCCTGGATACATGTACGTATATGCTGTACATCCGTGTCAGACGAACTCAATTTGAGTTGTACACTTCGAGTCAGCCTCCCGGTTTTAATTAGCCCTGTACATGTACCCGTCGCTTCCCAGGTTATCATATTGTATGTTTTGTTTTGTCTTGTCGCCTTCTTGTGATCATCGTCTCTTGTTGATCCTCACGCTCCCTCGCTTGTTGGACTTTCTCTGAAGACCTGGCTGGCTCCCTTCCCAGTTCATTTCATGCCGCAGGAATGTGATATACATGCCTGCCATACCAGGCATCTCTCTGTGTCCTCGTTGCGCTCGTTCACACTCGGAATATCATCCAGAAAATATTCACCTTCAAAATTTTCCTATTTTACTATGTTAAATCTCACAACTCTGAACCCAGTGCATTATTTCCACTTTTGTATTCTGCTCTGTAAAGCGCATAGAAATACTTTATGCCATGCGCTATCCAAAAATATTTAATTATTATTATACCGTTTTTACATTCCTCTGAAGAGATGTTATAAGAGCTCCGTGGTATATTGATAAAGGCTCTTGACCCTTAGAAGAGGTCTTGGATTTGATTCTTCCTCAGTACTTGTGCTTACATCCTTGGTCAAGCCTTTTTGTCCACCTTTGTTTCTCTAGTCTAAGGTCAATAATCTTGGATATTGTTCTACATGTACTTGTAAGACCCACAGGAAGAGGAATATAAATACTGATGAGGCTTCTGTGGATAAATTTGGTGTTTTCCTGTTGTTGTTGTTAACGTTGTTGTTAAAATTGATGATGCTGACAAATTATGTTGATGGTAAATTTGTGATGGTGATAGTGGTGGTGGTGGTAGTGTTGATGATGATGATGATGAAGATGATGATGATGATGATGATGATGATGATGATGATGATGATGATGATGATGATGATGATGATAGGGATGAGGATGGTGATGATGATGCTGATGATGATGTTGATGATGATGATGATGATGATGATGGTGATGATGATGATGTTTTTGTTGTTGTCATGTGATCAACATTCGTTCAGGCCTCAGGGCTTCATTTTGTCAACATGCAGGAACTACGCTCTGGTTGTGATCTGATTTATTTGTGGCAAGTAGCTTGTTCATGATGTACGCGTAGACAATATGAAAGAGACAACTTCCTAACTTATACCCGGAAAGTTTATTCGAGAATCGAGATGAACTTTTTGTTAGTCACTGTATGCTCATTAACAAAAATGTATAGCTTAACCACAATGCCTTAATCATTTTTGACAGTCATTGCATATCATATCCATGAAAGTTGTTTCTTGAAGATGTGATAATGTAAACTGGCCTTAAGACTCATCCTCTCCAACAGCGCAACATATATACTCTACCTCTGGAACAATAGCTATTAGCCAATCGTACAACATACACTTACATGTATGCCTCATCACAGTGCAATGGTGTTTCATGTCATTATAACAATATCATTTCACAACATGCTATCTTCACTAATATTTCATTATTATTTATTATCTACTTATTGTGTCTCTCCACTTAAAATGGCAGATTTTGTATTAGATTGATTCACACCTGCATGCATACTGTATATAATACCTTCCAAAATTGCTTTTTAACAAATATTGGGTGTGAGGAGCGAATCATGCGTCTCGTATTACGGTAATTTTCATCATCATCGATAAGTAGCCTACCGGTACATATATTATTCAGGAGTCTTAATCATCCCACATAATTACACCTGCCCCTAACAATGAAGGGAAGAGTGATCTTTATCCAATGGCCTAGACATCAACCTGCTAGAGCGCTTGCTTTGACATTGAGGATGGGGTCGGTTATTTAAATGGAAAATTCTCAATAGTTTCATTCACACTATAAAAAAACTGAAGTGACGTTTGAAGTGCGATTCAAATCAAATATAATTTTGTTGTGCTCATCAACAAGTGGATTTTTTTGTTGTTAATACATTTGTTAATAGATTCTCTTAATATCTGACTTCTATCAACCTTTGTCAGATTAAACATGTAGGATTGGAGGGCATGGCAATTAACTGGATACATGTTATTTTTTGTTCATGAATGTACTATTTTTCTTATATTTTCCCAATTTAGACTCCAATACTATTGCCTTGAAGCAGTTGCCAGAAACCTGGTCCGCAGTTATTCATATTTTTCTAGATTTTGTTTCTCTCTCTCTCTCTCTCTCTCTCTGAACAACAATCTACATGTAATATCAAATTTCTATCTCATTCACATTCTAGCTTTAATGAATAAGTTATCTATTTTTAGATGTAGTCTTGGAACATACATGTACACAGCATAGTATCCACTCAAGCCACCCTAAGCTTTTCCCATATTAATAGGATAGATTTAGCTTTCCCCAATGAGCTACATATGGAGTATTCCGACATTAATTGTTTGTTCTCCTTTTTGTTTTCCTTCTGTTTTTTGTAGGAGATAGCCTTCTGGTTGACCCGGTTTGACAAGCATTATCAATGGCTGGCATCGACGGTGAAGATCAGGTAAGCAAATTATTGACGTCTCCGCCCAAATCCTACACCATCCTCGCTTGAACCCAATATCTTATCTAGATCTTGATATATTGCGTTTCACCTCTCTCAGTCCTATTCATTTCATTTTATGTTTGTTTTCCCCCGTCTTCATTTTCTCCTTTCTTTGTCAGTCTTAATTTTCTTACGTTTATTGTATGTTTTTTCTCTTGTTTTCTCTGTGAAGTTCCCTTCATATTGTCATTAATCATATTTTATTACAGTTTTAATGTTGACTCTCTGTCTTTCAATTGTCACAATTGTTATTACACTTCCTCCTTGTTTTGTATGTCTCTCTTTTATCTCTCTCTCTCTCTCTCTCTCTCTCTCTCTCTCTCTCTCCTCTGTCTCTCTCCCTGTCTCTCTTTCTCTTTCTCTCATTGTCACTAAGTGTTTCTCTCATTCCATATTTATCAACTCCTTTATATTGCTCCTAATAATGATGCTATACCATAGTCTAGCCCTTCTGTAGATTTTAAGAGACTGCTTTCTCAGTTATGTTGCTCTCTCCCTTACTTTTTTTATTTTCTCCTTTTCTCTTCCTTCTGTGTCACTAAATTTGCTCTCTTGCCTTGAAAATGTTATCTTATTTATTTATACCCTGTCATATGTGTTCATGTACTCTCCCTACTTTCTTCCAAGATTCTCTACTTCTTCTCTAGTTAGTAATAGTTGGCTTTATTGTGAACACGTCTTGTATATGCTGTACAATCCAGAAACCAATATATTTTTCATATAAAATGATATTCGATATGCATTTTTATGTAGCTGAAAGCTTTTGTGAACTTTTTCTGAATGCCAATGGCCACAGTCTACTTAATGAGTGATTTCAGGAAATCCATGTTGCACACAAATGTGATATTTATTGGATTTTTTAAAAGTTGTTTGTTTTGAGTTAGAAGGGCATTTAAAACTCATACATACTTTTTAACTTTCACACAGAGTAACACCCTTCTAGCTCTGAACAGATGGTATCTACTCTTTAAAAAAAAAAGAGTGAATTTTCACTCTATTTTCACTTTCTTGGGAGTGACGTCCGTGATCACTTGTTTAGGAGTGAAAATCGATTGATTTTAGAGTGCTCTCTAAGAAGAAAGAGTGAATGTTCACTCTATTTTCACTACATTTTCACTCTCCAGAGGAGTGACATCCGTGATCACTCGATTTTTTTTTAGAGAGTAAGATTCCCAGTTTATATGAGAAGAAAAAGCATTAAATCAAATTTTCAATGTATTAGTTGTTTTTTGTTCATATAAAAGTCATATGAATGGCAAATGATATCTAGGCAGATTAAATCTTGGAGTTCAAAATTTGATAGATAGAGTGAAATAATGGATAAAAGAATTATTGAGCAGACTTGTCCTGATTAACATGTAGATGTGATGTGACAATTTACATACCCTAAAGTCTCACTTTCTCAATATCTCTAGTACTCTCTTTTTCGCTCTCAGTTAAAAATAATCTCTTTCTGCCTCTCTCAATCAAAATCCTCTTCGCATACATATTGATTGGAAATTTCTTACCTCGATTTCTTACGGCTTTAACAGCATGTCTTAGTTTCCTTTGAGTTTAGAATTCGAAGATTTATTGGTGTGATAGCTTATATTAATTTAGTCTGAGTATTTTGAGAGAGAGAGAGAGATTTTCAGAAAGATCACTGGGGGATGACAAAGAGAAAGACGTAGAGGAGGGAAGAAACAGAGGAAGAGAGACAGAAACAGAGACAGACAGATAGAGCAAGCGAGAAAAGTAATCGCAAATTTGAAAAACTGAAGAAAAAAAAGGAAGGATGACGTGCGTTGATAGTATAAAATGCCACTTACTTTCTGCTTGGTTTAGAGCCTGCAGGTAAATCTCTTTCATTTTAAAATTGTTATGCCGTTTTTCTGTTTTCTGTTTTCTCATTCTATAGTTTTGTTTCACTCTCTCCCAGTGTAATATCTAGATGGGAAAATGATTAATAGTTGCACTGATAAACTTGATATGAAAATGAGGAGGATAGTATTGCATTTAAATGGAAATGGAGATTAAGCTGATGTGTGGGTAATGATATGATATTACTGTGCACACTGCACAGCTTATTATAGACTTTGCAATTTAGAAAAATAAAATTGCAATACCGGTAGTAGTATACATGCACTGTTATAAAATGTAGTACTACAGTGGAACAAGTTCATAGTTTTGAAGGATACTAAAAACAGATAGAATAAGTCGATGTACATCTACATCATGTATTATCCTCTCTCTCTCTCTCTCTCTCTCTCTAAATTTGGGCTAAAAATGTTGTGGTTAACATCAAACTGCATTATTGTTATCATCACTATCATCATCACTACCATCATTATCACTTTCATCATGATCATTAAAGGGATAGTTGAGTTCTGTTTTTAGACCGCAAATACCTTCAGGGTGCATGGTTATTGCTCTTATTCTTATCTATGACATTTATAGTGCCCTTTTAGAACCTAAAGTTGCTATGAAGGTAATTTTAGACTCCAAAATGTGTGATATTTAGCCAATACGATCATACCAATTCAGTTCCACTTTCAAAAAATCACGGTGACCGTTAATTAATTATTTAATTAAAAATAACAATACATGGGCCGGCTAATTGTGGGTAATATAAGCAGCACACAAATGCCAACAAAAAAGCCAACATCGGCATTGACTGAAATACGACGTAAAAGGTGTTATTTCGGTTTTTTCAACGGTCATTTTCAAATTTGTCAAAATATGTAATATTTGTGGTGGTACACAAGTATTAGAAATCGTTATATTTCAGCGGTCTCTGAACCGATTTTGATCAAACAAAGATGATTTTGTCATTTAAATATTATGTTCTTTCAAATATGACACTCAGTTTTTTATTATCTCACAAAAAGATTATTTGTGTAGCGCCCTCTGCAACAGAACTCAACTATCCCTTTAAGCAGCAGCAGCATTATTATAGTCACAACCATCACCATCATCATCATCATACTATCCTTATATTTGTATTCACCTACACAGCTTTTTTTTCCTTTTAATGTATTTTAAATGGCATTTAAGAAACAACCCTTATGGTACAGAAATACAGAAGATGTCACATATTCAGTTTTTTTTGTTAATACTCAAGTCCATTCTCACACGTACATCCAAGGCAAGTACTTGCTACATGGACCGAAGGTGTCCTCTGGGGAGTCAATGACATTTTACATGTCAGCTATACAGTACATCAATCAGAACAAGATGAGAATCATGGACTGGTATTATTACTTGCTAGTCCATCTTCCTTTCCATCTTGGTCGATCCAGTTGACACCCCTCCCCCCCCCCCCCCCCCCCTCCTCCTCCTCCTTTTTCCCCCTTCTACTTTACATGTGGGTGTAATTTCTCTTTTTTTCACTGTCTCTTTTTGTTTAGGGGGGGGGGGGGGGGGACTTCTCAGTTGTGATTGAACGCCTAGATTAATTTAAAGAAGCTAGATAATAATAAACAATTTAAAAACAAAGATGCAAAGTTAAATATACAAATGTAAGTCATTGTCACTTAAAAATGGGAAGCCAGCCAACAAATTGAACTATTTTTACACCATCATCTTCTTCTTTTAATATCTGCTTTGCCCCTCCCCTTCTTTGGCTCCCTCCCCTTCTGTGCCCCTCCCCCTCCTCCTTCTCTATTTCTCTCTATCCTCCTCTCTACCCCTTTCTCTCTCTCCCTTGCCCATTCTCCCTCTTTTTATCCTGCTCTGTCAGACTTTGTCCCTATGTTTTTTTCTTTTTCCTTGTAAGTTTATTTTTTAATTTGCTCTCAACTGGATCTCTCTTTTTTTTCTCCACAACTCTGTTTTGAAGAAGTCACAAAGACAGATATCATGTGTATTTTTTAAGAGACAGACAGACAGACAAACAGAAGGAGAGAGAAAGAGAGAGAGAGAGAGAGAGAGAGAGAGAGAGAGAGAGAGAGAGAGAAAGTGGTAGAGAGGAGAGAGAGAGAGAGAGAGAGAGAGATGGAACTGAAGAGATACAACAGCTAGAGAAAGAGAGAAAAGAGAGAGAGATGCATTGGTAGAGAAATATACAACGAGAAGAGAAAGAGGGGGGGGGGGCAGGAATGGAATGCAGAATTAGATTAATAAAGTGAGATACCGAGAGAATGACTGACATATAGACAAAGAAAGAGAGAGAGAAAGAGACAGAGAGACAGAGACAGAGAGACAGACATATAGACAAAGAAAGAGAGAGAGAAAGAAGAGAGAGAGAGAGAGAGAGAGAGGGGGAGGTGGGGGGGGGGGGGGGGGGGGGGGGGGGAGAGAGAACTGAACAGAACTGAACAAAGATACAACAGCTAGAGAATGAGAGAAGAGACAGAAGGGGGGGGGGGGGGAGGCAGGAATGGAATGCAGAATTAGATTAATATCGAGAGAGATACCCAGAGAATGAGATAAATGGAGAAAGGAAGGAAGTCAGGAGCACAACTTTGAGAGTTCATATTCGTTCATCAATTTCCCCAGGCCTCAATCAGTATGATGTGACATTTCATCCAGGCATGTACATGCATTACAATCATTTCACAATACGTGAGGTGCAGTTCTGTGGATATTCTAACTCTGATCCGTTTCTCTATACCCCGCAACACAGAAATGGCATTACATTACATGAACACGTAGACACGTACAGGGTGTTCATGTATTGGGATCAGGGCTCAAATTAATTTTTTGTCCACGGGGGCTCTTCCCCCCCCCCCCCCCAAAAAAGAGCCCCCGTGAGCCTTCTCACGGGGGCTCTTTTAGTACTGACGGGGGCTCTTTTTTATACAAATATCCATTGAATTGGTACCTATGATACTCCTCAATTATTTGCTATTTCATCATTATTATTTCAATCAGCATTTTCCCTCTTACAAATTTACAAGCTACATAGCTGTTACTGGCCTGTGTATATAATATATACCATACAACACTGATCTTTATGATGTCTTTAACGTGACATATCT